TCACGTTCTAAACCTTCTGGAGTGACGTATACAGCTTCTATTAATGTTATGGACGTCATACCATCAATACGAATCTCAATAGAATTCAAGTAGCATACATACATGCTTAGAATAACTTTATAAGGAAAGAACAACATGGACAACCTTAGTTGTTAGAAGTAGATCTGTTATGAAATAGCATATCGTTTATGTTCGTTTCACTTTAGATCATGCCAGGAGAAATAAGAAAGTGCCTCAACATACCTTAACCACTTTGAGTCCTTAATACCTTCCAAGCAACTCTTCAAACAAGTCAACTCAATCTATCATAGCATAAGGAGATTCAAAATCAGTGTTGAGCAAAGACTAAGTCTGTAACTTAAGCTAGTAGCTCGTTTATGTAAATTCGAGCAGCATCTCCCCTGTAACAAGAGACTCCTCCAATATCATATACCAACAATAACAACCAGAGAAATCTAGCAACATATAAATATCAATAACAAGACACCATATAACAACAACAAGTCACAACTACTTCACGATGAGCGACAAACTCCGATTGGAATCCATATAACTCATATCACCCGTTATAGACTTCTTAAATTAACTTAACAACATAATTAACATGATAATAAAGTCATTCATCAATGATTTCATCCTTATATCATATATTTATAACAAAGAAAATAATCCACAACTCCAACTATCTTTAATTATCAATTTTATTCACTAGTTCATGTCTAGTCCATCCATTTAACTTAATCAACATCAAAATAACCTTAAGAACATGCAACAATACAATACACATACCTACTACATTAGCTTCAAGCCGAAATACAAATTATATTTAGCTTACAATAGCCCTCAATGGCAATACGACACCATAGAAGTGATTTAAGCTAATCCAAGTATTGTCTTGTAGTTTCTCATCCTAACAACTTAACCAACATACAAGCAAGCTTAGGCATAATTATTAGGCTATTATACTCACCTTCTCCAGTAGCAACAACTTGAAATTTCAAGCCAAACACATCCCATAACTATCCTCAATGACAATACAAACCCAAAGAGGTGTTGTTCTTCACTAGAACTAACTTTTGATGTTTAAATATGGTGTAATCCATTTCCAAGACTTGAAATAACTTAGGGTTGATATGAAAACTATAGAAGAGTATTTTATAGAATTTAAACCACTTAAAACAACCTCCCACACGAGCTGGAACCACCCAAAAATCAGCAACAATAAGAAGAACAAGAAACTTACTAGCGCGACGGGATTCCCGACACTTGATTTGTGTTGTTTGCCCTTTGTTTAGGTCTTGGATCATGAGAGAACCTTGAGAGAGTGTTTTAAGATGTCTAGGGTCTGAAGATACTGAAAAAGAATGAGTTAAAAAGGGGTTGAGGCGTCTTATGTATATCAATATATCTCAACCGCCTATGTGGGGTCCCATTGAGAGCTTCTTGGCGCAGTCTCGCAAAAATGCAAATATCTCTTTAATCTGATGTCATATAGACAAACGGTTTAATACGTTAGAAACTAGACTCGAAGATATTCAATTTGGTAGGTAGATCACCCCGTAATTCTAAGTATATTTGGATAAAAGCTCAGCTACATTTGACCTAATTTTTAGCACATTTATAAATGTAACTTGTAATGACCTTTGCCAACTTTTGTTCCACAATACGCTTGACTTAAAAACGTAACACACGACTATCATATGACTAAAATAACTCTCATGTTAAGCACTCTAGTATCACCCCAAAAGTACATTTTATAACATTCCAAACATGTCGACTTTCGACGAAACTTATTTTCTTCAATTCGTTTAGCATCTAAGCTTTCCAACCCTCTTGGTACTTGTTATTCACGATATTAAATATTTGTAATCTCCAAGATAGTATTATTAACTTACTTTATGTACTTTCAAAGACGATCTCATTATCGAGCTTACATTAATTGACTTACGACATACTCTTACCTACGAAAACATGGAGTATAATATAAGGGATGTGCCAAAGACCAAAAAGTTACTTATTATGGACCAAAGAGAGTAATAAATCTTTGTTTTCAATCTTTTATACGAAGTTCCATCCAATTTTGTTATTCTTATTAAAGTTATAGTGATTATTCACTTTTTAGCCAAATAATATAGCAATGTTAAATTATAATTAAAAATGAAAATACTAAACGAATTAATGGCCCATTTGTTAGTACTTCGGAGAAAGCATAAGATGAAAAGAAATTACATAAAAATCTCTAAACGTAATGGAACTAAAAATTATAACGGGTTCGAGGATTCCCGGGAAAAAGAAATTATCTTTTGTAATTTGAAAGCGAAATAGCAAAAGAATTTTTTGTATTTCGCGTAACTTTAATAAGGTAAGAATATATAATGCAATATACAAAAGAAACCATTAAAATTGTACCTGAGATTATATTTAATATTGTTGGCGAAGAAACAGTTGCAAAATCAAGAAGAATGAAATATCGAAATACGTTTGAATTCAGAGAAGAACAAATCAAAAACATGAAGAATGAGAGAGAGACAGAGACAAGAGACAATACGGAATATACTTGGAGAGAAAGTAGTCATTTACTAAAGAAGGGCAAAATCATCTTTTTAAAATATTTTTAACAAAAACGGGTACGGATGCAAACGAAAAAACAAAGCGGGTACTAGTTAAAAAGGGGCGACCAAATAGGGTGTCCCATACTTTTTTTTTTTTACTTGGAAAAAGCATAAGATGAAAAGAAATTACATAAAAATCTCTAACGTAATGGAACTAAAATTATATCGGGTTCGAGGATCCTAAGTAGAATATTACTCAATTTAAATTTCTAAATATTAGGAAATTTTACCTAATTAAAATAAAGAAAGTATTAATAACTAAAATTTTAGTCGACTTTAAAGTTCTAAATATTAGAAAAATAATTAAATTATAAATTTGCCTAATGTAAACTTTATTTTTAAAAGGTAAAAAAACGAACAATATTTCTAAAAAATTTCGTGCTTTTAATATAATATAGATATAAATATAAATTTACGTGACGTGTTCCACTGTTTCTATTTTATACTCATCTTTTATGCTAATTGTCCTCAAGGTCTTTATACTTTTGATTTATGTAAGAGCATAAACATTTAGTTATTTTTGCATAAGTTTATTTTACATATATATGAAAATTAAACATCGAGGACAAAATATAAGGACAAAATTAGTTATTTAGTCGTAGTTCTTTTTAGTCATTTACTTGTTGTTTGATACTTATATTAGGCACTGAATCTATATTTATATTATATTAAAAGCACGAAAATCCTTAGCAAAATGTCGTTTGCCTTTTTTACCCTCTAAAAGTAGATTTTATGTAGGACAAAATTGTAATTTAAGTTTTTTCATAATTTTTAGGAGTTTTAAATCAACTAAAATTTTGGTTTAAAATATAAAGTTCTACATTTTGAAATCGATTAAAACTTTACTATATACAAACACTTCCCTAAGAAGGTAACAAAACATTCCATGTTTATTTTTTCTAATATTAATTTTCAGAATAAGGAAATAAAGAAAAACAAATGAAAGGGAAAGAAGTAAAGGATTTGCGTTTCTTTGCGTTTTTACTCCTTTTCAAATCGATTCTTCCGCATACATGCTATAGGAATAGAATTTTAGTGAATAAAATTATATTATAGTTAAATATTTAAAATTGGAGATGATTGAGAGAAGAGCAGTACGTAGGACTTAAAAAGAGGGTTCCTTCCTCTCTTCACTCTCCGAATTTCGATCCTCACCTTTCTGGTGCCAAAGGCAATATTTATAATTTAAATCAACAAGGAAATAAATTATTCCTTTAACGTTGACAATAAATTATTAAATCTTTGAATTAATTAGTTAGCTAAAAATCTAATTCAAATCTTTTCTAAATTATGAATGGTTTTAGCAAAATGTTATTCGCTTTTTTTACTCTTTAGGACATTGAAAACAACTAAAAATATAATTACTAAGTCTTTCCTTAATAGATAGAAAGTCTAAAATTTGTGCCTTTAAATTAATTAAGATTTTACTTTATAATAATTCTTTTCTTATAACACACTATATGAATGACCAATACTCATATAAAGATTTTGAAGTCAATTAAAATATTTATTCAAAAGAAATTTTGTTTGTCGTATATTTTATTTTTCTAGCGACACAAGCATTTTTAGACCGAAACTATGGCATATTTGTCTTTAATGATTTTATTATTATTTTAAGAATAAATTCAAAAAAGAAAAATCTGCTAAATTATATTTTAAAAAGGAAATAACAATCATAACACGAAAAAATGCATGAAGTTATTCTTAAAATGTGAGTCATAATGCGAATTTTCTTTCAAAATTTAGTCTTTTGAACTCCAAAATGAATTTAACTAATACATAATAAATATGGCATTACGATGTAGAAAAAATTAAATTGAACGCCACAAACGCAAAATGAGAATTACGACTAAAAATCAACATTCAACATTTTCATGAACATATATTTTTTATTTAATCTTATTTATAACTCAAGCAAATTATTGTTTAAGTGATTTCTTAAAATTTTATACTAAGACTAGTAAATTAAATTCATAACACGTAAGATTGTTAAACGAGAACATTTTCTACTTTTTAGTATAGAAGAATCTTATTCTCATCGTAATCTTTGGTGATAGTTGTAATTTTTCATTTGGATCCATGGCATAATTCCATATCCACCAAATTAAATTATTTATAAAAATAAAAAAAATAGCAAAAAAAATCAGGCCAGGGGATGAATCCCCCCTTTCTCCATTGCCCATTTGCCCTCTTCAACATACACCCCCCTCCCCATTTCTCCGCCCCCGTGTTCCCCCAAACAGATCTCCCAATCCAAATTTAGCAAAACCTAATTTCAAAATCATCTTCTTATGGATAGCCGGCAAGAAAATTGAAAAATCCCCACAACGGCGATAATAGCTAAAGATCAAATCTTTACGCCAAAAAGTTGATTTTAATCAATCGGCGATGCGCCATCGGAAGTCAGCGGAGGTAAATAGACGAGGATCCGACCTCCTGAAACAACCCGAAGCCGACCCACCTCGTTATCGGGGCGTCCGTAAACGGCCATGGGGCCGATTTGCTGCAGAGATTAGAGATCCGATAAAAAAGACTCGAGTTTGGCTTGGCACATTCGATACAGCTGAAGATGCTGCACGCGCTTACGACGATGCTGCACGCGCTCTCCGTGGACCTAAAGCCAAAACTAATTTCCCTAATTTAGCAGCTATAACAACACAACAGGATAATAATCCTTATGGATCGAATCAATTTGAGCTTTTTCCTAATTCGAGACCGGCTTCTAGCAGCATGAGCAGCACGTTGGAATCTTCTAGTGGGCCTCGTGGATCGGGTAATAAGCTGACCCGGATGAAAATCCCTCGCCCGGTTCTTCCGCCGGAAGATTGCCGGAGCGATTGTGATTCGTCCTCGTCGGTGGTGGATGATCGTTGTGATGCAGATCAGACGTCGTCGTTTCTGCCCAAACAACCTCTGCCGTTCGATCTGAATCTGCCCCCTCCATCAGATGATGTTGATGCTGATGATTTACATGTCACCGCTTTATGTCTCTAATTACTCTTCTGTTACGATGATGTATGTTGTTGTTAATCAATTTGATGATGAAGAAAAAAAAGGAAAAGAAAAGCTTTTTTTTTTTTTTTTTAAGTTTTCTTTGTTAAAGCTGCTTACTTTTTTTTTTCCTTCAAATTTTCCTCGGGAAAAAATGATGTAAAACCCAAATGGTGGATATTGAGAAACAAAAAAATGGGTTTTTTTTAGATTATGTGTAGATTAGTCTACTACTGAGTCATGATACGATCTGTATTAAGAAAGATTGTATCTGTATTTGTAATCTGTAACACAAACATTGGATCTGATCTTGAGTTATTCTCCTATCTCTTGATCTAGTTTTCTTTGCAATTTTTTTGTTTTTATTTTACCCTTTTTGTATAAAGAAAGTTGGAATTATAATAAAAAATTATACTTGCTCAGCTTCATCGAATCATTTATGAGTTCGTTACAGTTAGCACATTGGAGATTTTCCTGTATTTGTTTGGGTATGTGTGTATGTGTCATCTTTCTGTACTATCACTAGGACTACTTTTGATGCCTCAGGATTATGAGATGTGCACACAATTTTCATCATCAGTAGCGGCAAATTGCAGGGAAAATGGAGGAAGTAATAGATTAAGCAGTAAAGCAGATGAATTAGCTGTGGGAATATTTAGCAACAGAGGAAGAATAACATCATCATACATTCATACTGTATAGTTTGTGTCTTTCATATAAGTAGCTGATCCTTTTATATTAGCAGTAGAAAACTTTGTATTTGGTGAAACAAAGAAATATTGCTTCCTGAGAAAATACGCTGGTGAAGAACATGGAGGATAATAATTATAAAGCAAATCCTTCCCTCAACCCGACCCCCGAAATGAAACAAATTGTGGTAGAGAGGAAGATCTATGTGAAAAATAATAAGTGGACCAGCTCTGCAGTCTCTCTTTGTTACCTCATCTGTTGTTTTGTGATAGACCGCGCAACTGCCCAGCCACAGAATGACTCAATTTCTGAGTTCTAGCTGATTGAGTTGTGAGGTCTGCTTCCCCACATCCTTAGCTTGAATGAATTTCAGTTGGCCATATTCATCAAGCTTGATTAGCAGTGGTGATCTATCTCCAGATGGAATGCTTCATTTTGGTATTCACGTAGAGTATGGAAATCGTTCTTAAGGTGAGTCTTCATTTTTAAAGTGACATGTATTTTCAAGTATGTGTTTTTCTAAGTTAGCCTTGTAAATGTCTGTGTCCAGATATACTGTCTGATATATGGTGTTCTGAGTGGATTTTTTTCTGAATTTCAACTACTTTTGTCACTGCGGTAAAACTTAAGCATAAAAAATCTCTGAACTAATTGAAAATATATCAAGTTTCCTATGCAAAAAGATTAGCTGAAGTTATATTTCTAGAGTTGGACAAGAATTCTTTTCTGTTGATTTTTAAGTATTCGTGGTGAAAGTTAGTTGGCTGTTGTTAGAATTTCGTTTTCCATTGTTCTTTGTCATAACTGCTGTGATATTTTTTTATTGAGCCGAGGTTCTTTCAAAAACAGGCTCTCTACCTTCATAAGGCAGGGGTAATGTCTGCGTACATACTACCCTCCCCAGACCCCTCTTATGGGAATACACTGTGGTGGTGGTGAAAGTAATGCAAGATGGATACGGTTTCTGCTGTTCTTTTTAGATTCTTAGCCCAACCCTCCCCCTTTTCTCTCCTCACTCTATGTGTGCGAATGTGTGTGTCTGCATGCATCTGTGATTATATTCGCCAAAGTCATTAACTGACCATAGATGGATTTGATTGTGTAGTCATGTTGATGCTGAACTTATTTTTCGAAATCAATGCTCGTGAAGGCTGAGACTCTATCCAATTATTGATACTACTTATTTTAAATAGTATATCTTACTTACCTGCAATGTAAGGATGCACGGAATAGATCAAAGTTCAATAATATAGACATCTTGCTCTGTGGTTTCCATTCTTCAAGCATTCATCCACTCAGAAATTAAACAGAGAGCTTGTAAGATAAATGTCAGCAACCTCTGGTACCAACCACTAGCAATGGGTTTGCTTACCCCCCCAAAAAATACATTAGCCGAGATTTTCACCCTTTCGTGTTTTTGCTCTTTTCAATATTGAGGCGTACCTCAGATATCATCTTGTTTTAGGTAACTCTACTGCTTTTCTGGAGATTCTCATCTCTTGCCTTGGGGACATTTGGTGGTTGCTCCCAAGTATGATATTCAGTACTTGGTGAAGCAGTGGTCACCTGAACCTGCATTTCTTCCCAGAGAAAGTAAATAAAAGGCACTTGTATACTGTATTCTCTGTTATACTTAGGCCATGTATCCAACTTTAACCAAAATTGTTTCTTATATTTTGTTATATTTTCTCAAAAAAGTCAGGATGCTATGATGAACGTTCAGTATTGAGCCACCAGATGTCTAGGGTTAGAACATTCACCAACAAGGATCCGTAACATGGTTGGCTGTCTTCTCCTTTCGTTTTAATTTTTTAAAAACTGAAAAGATTGTTTAGGCGTGAATTTGCTTTACTATGCTACAACACATTGTGAATATACACCATCACTACAAGCAAAGACTTTAATTCTCTCATCTTGCTATGTTGTTTTTGTTCTGTGTATGTTACTGTGACGACCCGGGCAATCGTCTCATGATTTACCGTTCCGTTTTTCCCATTTCTGCTTCTTTATGCTTTGTTTATCCGTGTTATGTGGTATCGGGTTGATCGGATCGAATCCGGAATGATTTTGGTAAGGTTTGAGACACTTAGTATCTTTCGAGGAAGCTTAAGTTGGAAAAGTCAATCGGATGTTGACTTATGTGTTAGAGGGCTCGGATGTGAGTTCTGATGGTTCGGATAGCTTTGGGAGTGATTTGGGACTTAGGAGTGTGATCGGAATGAGTTTTGGAGGTTCAGAGTAAATTTAGGCTTGAATTAGCGAAGTTGATATTTTGGCGATTTCCGGTTGGTAGGCGAGATTTTGATATAGGGGTCGAAATGAAATTCCAAGAGTTGCAGTATCTCTGTTGTGTCATTTGGGATGTGTATGCAAAATTTCAAGTCATTCGGAGATGGTTTGGTTGGGGTTTTGATCAAAAGCGTAATTTAGAAGATTTTGGAATTCTTAGGCTTGAATCCGATGCGAATTTGGTGTTTCGATGTTGTTTTGAGCGTTCTGAAGGTTGGAATAAGTTTGAATGAGGTTATGTGATATGTTGGCATGTTTGGTTGAGGTCCCGGGGGCCTCGGGTGAGTTTCGGGTGGTCAATCGGACTATTTCATGTTGTTTGGAATTGCAGAAAATTGCTGAAGTGTTGCAGAGAATTTGACCTTCGCGTTCGCGAGGAAGGCTCCGTGTTCGCGAAGGGCTGGATGTTTGTGCATCGCGTTCACGAGAAAGGGAGCGTGTTCGCGTAGAGTAAGTTAGAGGAACCATCACGTT